CTGTAACTACTCCTCCATCAGCTCACTGACTGCTCTTTTTTTCCCCATTTCATTGAAGTCCTACCAAACTTTTTACATGAGAAAAATAAATCAAATATTACTTCAACATCTTTTTCCCAAATGTATTGCATGCTGTGTGTAGACGGGTTACAAGAAATGGATGAGTTGAATGGAGACATCTGAGTTAAGGGTTAATATCAGAGGAAAAAGAAAGCACAGTCAAGTATGACTTGACTTGTAGAAATATTTATGTTAAAATTATTCTACTTCCTACTCTATATATAGTACACTAGGCCTGCACGATTGTCATTGTCAGCGTGACGGGACGTGAACATGCGGTAAACACCGAAAAAGCTGATCTGACATGCGATAAGTTTTGTTTACGGTGTTTGTGCCATGCTTTCACATTCAACATGCTGACATTTGGCAAATTAGATGCCACCCTGGACACATGAGCGATACATTCACACCGTTAAGCCAATCAGATGATGCCCAGCTCGCTAACGTTCCTGCAGGAACAGTATAGTCAGAGGAGTAAAGAGAACGGCGGAGGCTGGAGAGCAAAGCAGCAGAAATGCAGAATAAACGCTTCAGGCAAAAACAAATAGAAATCGAGAAGACAATTTACAGACTCATGTACTGTGCAGGACCGGCAGAGCGGTTTTAGCAACACCTAGAGGTAACACCAACAACCTCTATTACCACCTGCTGCACCACCATAAGAGCTGCACGAGCAATTCAAGGCCAGTCAACCGAGAGTGCAAATGCCGAGCAGCAGCAAAGTCCTCTGAACGATACACTGAAATTACAGAGGTCTATTAATGCCCATTAATTAATGCCCATTATTACAGTGACCAGACCAAGATTTGTGAATCTTGATAAAAACTCGATCGACGATATGCGGACCACGGAATTATGTTTCTGTTGCTGCGATCCTGAAGCTGTATGAGAAACGTGTTCTTGGCTAAGAACTGAGAGAATAGTAAAGGGAGCTGCCTATCCCTGAGGGTAGATTTTTTTCTTCAATTTATTGTCTTTTTTCTTTTTCTATTAACCCTTATATTCCAGGAAAGGAAATAAAACTGCTAAAAAATTACTAAAAAAAATGATTTATGTTACATTTAGCGCCTTTTCCCCCTGAGATTCTTTTATTTGAAGAAATATGTTTGTATTTGTTGTAGGTAATTCAAACTTTCATTTATGTTTCTTTATCAGTATAGTAACATGTTAATTAATTGCATGTGCTTGTTCAATTAAGGCATGCATATCTTTTTTTTCAAGTTTCTTTTTTTCAATTTTCATCAACTATTCAGTGTTTGAGAGTATCTAAGAGCAGGGGATTTATATGCAAATATATAATATTCATTATTTTAATGTATACACTCATTTAATGCATCGATCCATCCATCCATCCATCCTTTCATCCATCCATCACTTTAATGCATCTATCTACCCATCTTTTTGTCATTCATCACTTTAATGCATCAGCCATCCATCCATTATTCATCCAATATCCATCCATCCATTCATCCATCCATCTATGACATCTATGCAGCCTTAAATGCGGTAAAAAAAAATCCAAACACATTTTCTTTTCAAATCCTTGTATCTTAGTATATGACCCAGTCTGTTACACCCTCTTGGTATTGTTTTGTTATGTAACAGCTGTGTCTCGGTTGGACTGGTAATGGAACAACATAATGTGCAGGTTTTGCAGTTCCATTTGTAGGAAAAGATTTGCTCTGAATCGCTGGAAAATAAAATATAAAAAAAATCCATGTTTCACAATGAAACAAAACATTTTCCAGTATGTTTTGTTCACCATCTGATGACGAGAGGGTTGCGGCTTCTTAAGTGAAAATGGAAATAAAAGTGAAATTGATTTTTAAGGGAAGAGCCAGTTGTTTTTTGTCAGTAAAACGGCAGCAGTCATCACACGAAATCATCCAAACCTGAACATCAGACGCTGAAATCGCGGAGAAAAACAGGGGAGACGGGGGATTTTTTTTACGACGAATAATATGTTAAAGATAAGAATCAGTCCAAAAAGCTGCTCTGCTCACGCTGTTGTTTCATGTTTCCTCTTCACTGTCTCTTCAAATCTCATGACAGTTTATCTCATGAGCACTTCTGCTGCAGTGACACACCAGGTGCGGTTTTTAAACTTTATAAAAAGCAAGAATTTCAACAAAGCTGCGTTTATAATGTATTATCAAGCTACTAAAATAATAAGTATAATTATTATAAGATGTATGACAAACTTGGAGTTGAGAATTACTGTCAATGATGCTCCAAGGCATTAGAATCGTTAGCAGAGTTAGGATATTTAGTATCAAGTATCATCAAGATGTTTGGACAATTACCAAAATGATTTTGAACAAAACAGGCAAGGGTAGAGGAATAAACAGCAACTTTGCCAGTCAGAAAAAAAAATCCTCTTCTGCTTATGAGAAAACTTTCAACCAAGACTTGAAAAACATGGCAAATGATAGTAAGTACTGCAAGCATATTTGGTCAGTGACAGGTATAGACCCATAGAATGATGTATCCAAAGACTTTAGAGAGAGTGGAGAGTTCAAGAGAGAGAAAATTGAGAAAATAACATGAAAGTTTAAGAAATGGGTTCTTGTTAGGGATGTCCGATAATATTGGCCAATTTTAGCTTAATTATGTAATATCGGTAATAATCATTATCGGTTTTTCTCCGATAATGAAAACCCAATAACGCAGTCCCTGGGTTTGCCTAAACCATGTGACCTAAAAATCATTTAGGAGTGAAAGTAAACCTATTGTCAAAGCCCACTACTACACACTACGAAATGTGACTTCTGCCTTTAATCCAAATAGCTGCATATATGGTACTGGTTGGTATCGGACATCCCTAGTTCTGGTCATTATTGTGTCTTCCAAAATATCAAACACCAAAACATACTTCAAAACCTTGACCTAATCCCTGTTACATTATAGTGCTTTCAATATGTCTGGTGCCTTTAGGGTTACTTTCATCAACACCTTTAGAATCCACGACACCCCCCATGCAGACGTTTACCTACACCGACACCCAGCCCCTGTCGTCCTTACACAACCTGGCAACAGAAAGTCTGGCCTCCACCTAAAGTACCTTTTCCAGGATTGCAATTATCTGTCCCAAACACCTCAAACACACTTCCTGACCGCCCTCTACTGGTCAGTTACTGTTACACTAAGGCACCTAAACACAATAAACCACTCGGAATTATTGGGTATTTATCAGTCCTATTCCTTAGTCAAACAGAGTTGCTGTCCCAAACATCTACCCCGGGACATCTACCCTGACACGAGTGCTGAAACTCTCCGTATGCCTGTTTGTGAGAATTGGTTTACAAAAAAATAGATCTTTTCGTCAACCGGCTTCTTTTCAGTCTTTTCACCTCTGCTGAAACGACTTTGACAAGAAGTCTACTAAGAAGACGTCGCTAATCAGTGAAAAATTTCACCCCCCCAAAAAAAAAAAAATCAGTGCAGTGCAAACCAGGGTTTATGCGATATGCGAGAAAACCCTCAAATCCTACCAAGGTGATTTGGACATCAGCAATTATGAAAGCCTGATGGCACTTTATTAAAAACTAGGGCTGTCAAATGATTACAATTTTTTAATCAGAGTCATTAAATGCTGGCTGTGGATTTATCCTGATTCCTCATATTTAATAGATTAATTTTAAAAGAAATGTTTTGCACTAAATTAATATTAAAAACACTGATTAATTTGTGTCTGATTAAAATGTGAGGTTACACATTGTTCAGGTGCACAAAGAAGAACCAGAGAAGGCACCCTGAATAACAACACTCGCAAAACCAGGATGAAAATTCCAATGGCCTTGAATACGTGTCGTTTAACTTTTTCTTTTTTCTTTTTTCCTGATTACACGTGACTGTCCTTGGACAAGGATGAGGAGCACTATTGTTGCAGCCTCAGCGAGACTCTCTCTGCTGCTGCTGTGTTTGGACATAATGGCTTCACCCAAATGTGTTGCTAAAGGTCTACAATTTACATAAAGCTTCTGGCTTTTTATATCTTTGTATGTTTAATAACAGATACACATCCATACGTACAACAACACAGGTGATGTCTGAAGCCTTTTCAGCTCTCACTGATCAGAAAGACTAGTGGAACCCATGTGGTGCTGGGAACCATGTTTGATTTTATTCTAGTTCCCTTATTTGGAAGAGGGCAGAACTCTTACCACCTACCCACGGTGGTTACCCCAGTGTATTGAAGCTAGAAGCCCATAGGTTTGAAATCCAAATCTGTCCAACATCAGGATGTTTGTGCTTGTTGTCTATTTCCATTTCCTCCAAAACTTTCATTCCCACTGAACCAACAAAATATTTGTTGCATTTTCCCTGCTATTGGACGATTCATAAAAATGTTGAAATTTCCCTTCCCTTCCCTGCCAATAACCCCCCCACCCCCACCCCCTTTGAGAACCTCTACGTTAACCTCTAGGACTGGCTTTTAAACACAGACCATACATAGTACTGTCTAAAACAAAAGACACAGACGTACTAGAAAGTAGAATACATTCTACCACTTTGACCTCTGGTACTTGACTGTTCTTCTCTCAGCCAAAAGTAAAACTAAAGGAGTTCTACTTTCACCCATCACTCGTCACAGTACTGTGACCTCAAAGGAGGAACAGTTTGGGCATGCCTGCTGTACATGGTCACATTATCATTGTTATTGGAGTGGTGCGGGGCAGCATCACTGCACATTAACACAGCAAGAAATACTTTCTGGTTGGATTTGAACCTGTGAATGCCAAATTTATAATCATTTGATTTTTGGGTTTTTTTTTAAACTCAAAGAAATATGAGTATAAATAATGCTTCCACAGCCAAAACCATGCATGTCTTTACTTTAAAATAGATGTGTTTGCCCTTGGGTGTGTTTGTGTGTGTGGATCAGTGTGCAGGTCATTAGCCAGGTGTGTATTTCTTGTGAAGTTTGGATTATTACTTACCCCAGGGTGGTCATGGTAACAATGGTGTACCAGAAAGACGCTGGAATGCTGGTGAACTTGCTGGAGCTGGAGCCCTTCTCTGCATAGAACATGACTGTGGCAAAGATGATGATGGCCATGGTGAGGGAGAAGAGGAGGAAGCCCAGCTCTGACGCACAGCTCTTCAGCGTATAACCGAGGATCCGGAGGCCCTGCGAGTGTCGGGAGAACTTGAAGATACGAAACACTCGGAACACCCGCAGTGTCACGAAGGCACCGCTCACGTCTTCGTTGTTGGTCATCACCAGGCCGATGTAGTATGGCAAGATGGCCATCACGTCGATGATGCTCATCACCGAGCGCATGAAACGGCAACGGCTGGGTGCAGCAAACAAGCGCAGCAGGTACTCCACTGTGAATATCATGACGCAGGCGGTGTCCATGCAGAAGAAAGCCACGGTGTAGCGTTCACCACATGGCATGTCTTTCTGGTTGGTGGTGGACCCACATGGAACTGTCTCCACTACATTGGTGATGACTGACACGGCGATGAAGAACCCTGTGACGTAGTAGAAGACCAGCGCCATGGTGGAGGTGTGGGGGTTCTCAAATGCGCGCCATACCGTCTCTCTGAAGCTCATGTTGGGCAGCTTCATGTCCTTGTTCTCCTCCTGATCATCTTGCAGTCGCTCTATATTCTCCCTCTTTCTGTCCTTGTACTCTTCGTAGCAGCAGTCACCGATGATCTCAGGGATGATGCCGAAAAAGATGAGCTCCTCGTCGTAGGCGGAGATGCACTCATGGCGGGGGTAGTGGAGCTTTCCTGTCCTGTAGAAGTTGAGGATACTTCTAAAGGCATCAGGGTCCCTGTCAAAGAAGTACTCCTTGGTTTCTTCGTTGTAAAAAAAGTCCTTCTCAGAGCTGCCCAGAAGAGTGTCTGGGTAGCGGTCCAGAGTGGTCCTCCAAGTCTGGAAACGACGGCCACTGACATTAAGGATGATCAGCTCATCCTGTCTCTTACTGTTGTCCCTTGGGGCAACAGGCATGGGGCAGTTAGCAACAGGCATCCAGCCAATGGCTGCTGCCCTAGCAAAAGGGAGCCAGGCTGCTACTCCTGTTGCCATTGTGAAGCAGCAAAGTCTAAGTCCTCCTCACTTCAGTCCTTCAACAGGAACTGGAATCTAAAAAGTAAATGTAAACTTTAAAAAAAGACCGCACCAAATAATCATCTGAATTATCAATGTTTGACCATAATAGGGCCGAGCAGGCAGCATCATGAAATCTGACATTTGGAGTTGTTAATGAGTTTTGCTCTGAATCCAATTACCAGACCCTCTGTCTGTTGTTTTGTCCAAATTCA